CCTTTTATGCCAGGCAAACCGGGCACAAGAAGAAGTTGAACGCCTACATCGAGTTCTCTGAGCTGCTGGACCTGGGACCTTTCATGGAAGACGGAGGTAGGCGCGTTTCCTTCCCTGAATTGTGGATCAGGGCCCTTCCCCTGCCTTCTGAGCGCCCCTGGAACAGTGGTGGGATCCGGCAGGTTCACACCGGTTTGGGAGAACCGGCAGCTCCCTTTTTGTGCAGGTTGGAGAACCGGCTGGATAGTGAGCCTCACCTTGCCCCTCCTCGCCCCTCCCAATCCCTCCTCGCCTTGCCGCCCAGGCACCTGCCCAGCCACCCAAGGTTACAAGAAGCGGCTGGGAGAGGAAGGGCCAGGCGGGGCAAGGAAAGGCCAGGGAAGGTGAGGCAGCCCTCGGCGTGAGTGATGTCGAGTTTGGCTGTGCCCGTTGTGATGAGCCCAGGGTGGGGATACAAAAATAAACACAGTCACAAAAACCCGGTGAAGCCCCTTTTGTTCCTTCACTTTGCTTCCAAGCTCCAAATATCTTTGACGGAAGACCAAAAAAAACTCCCACACAAACAGTTACACGGAGAAGGAAAAAAGCAACACGAACCAGACAAGATAAGGGCTGGAGGACGTCCACAGATATCAGAACACACACCGGGAAGGACGCCAGACTCAGAGAGGAACCATAAACTAGAGATATATCCATGCTTTGTTTCCAGCGCTCGCCCGTACGCCTGTCCGTCCTCTTATCCAGTGGTCACAGCTGCAGCCCATTGAAGGGGATCAAGGCCCTCTCCTCCCCCATAGACCACGTCTCTCCCTTATCCTCTCCTCCCTGCGTGCCCTAGGATGAAGAGGGGATGGGCCTGGGTCTTCCCCTGAGTGCCCAGCCAGCCGGCCTCTGCCCTTCCCCAGCCTCCTCCACAACCTCCAGAACCCCACTCCCACTCCCTGTCAGGCTGTTCCTCCTCTCCCTCAAGAGTCAGTCTCCCCCCAGGGGCAGGACACCCATCCAGCCACGTCTACCCAGCCGGTTATTGGGGCAGAGAACTGGGGGTTAAATTATTTGAATCCCACCACTGCCCCGGAGGCCTAGAATGTTATGGGGAGGGGAGGGGGGAACCAAGGATAGGGTGGGGTGGGGCAGTTGGGTGGGTGAAGCCCCGCCCTTCCCCAACCCTCGAGCCCCGCCTGCTGCTGTTTCAGCCAGCGTCTTCGTCTACGAGCTCAGCGCCATCCTCATCCACCGAGGGGTCAGCGCCTACTCGGGCCACTACATCGCCCACGTGAAGGACCCCCAAACCGGGGAGTGGTACCGGTTTAACGACGAGGAGATCGAGAAGATGGAGGGCAAGAAGCTGCAGCTGGGAGCGGAAGAGGACCTGGGTAAACGAGGGACCCGGCTCGGGTGGCCCCGCTCGGCCGGGGTGTGCGCGTGTGTGTGCGCCCTCCTACAACGTGGCCCAGCGGAGAATGTCTTGGGGGGGGCAGAGAGAAACGAGATGAAAGGTCCCCAACAGTTGCTTCCTTTGCCTTCTGTCTCCCCCCACCCTCCCCCCCCCCCTGCAGAACCCTCTAAGGCTCAGTCTCGGAGGTCCAAATGCGGGAAGGGGATTTACCGCTCCCGGAACGCCTACATGCTGGTGTATCGGTTGCAGTCGCGGGAGAAGTCCCTGGCTGTTGAACTCCCAGGTGAGGCTCTCGGCCTTTCCCCGCTCTCCCCGCAACGTGTCAGCCCCCCACCACCACGCAGGCTGCGTGGGCGTGTCAGGGCCCCCTCCGGACGCACTCCCCGTCCCGGAAGCGCGCGAGGGTTAAAAGCAAAACATTTCAGGATTGGGGCCGTGCTGGGCCCTTTTCGGAAGACGCGAGTCCAGGGACGGAGGGTTTGTGGATGGAGGCTTCCTCCCTTGGGGTTCTCTGAGCGGCTGTGGTGGGTGGGGGGTACTGGGGGGGTGGGGGGAGTCTCCCTGGGCCAAGGAGGGGGCCATCCTCCTCCTCCCCCGTCTTAGCTTTCCTGCAGGAGCTGGTGGATGAGGACAACAGCAGGTTTGAGGAGTGGTGCCACGAAATGGCCGAGATGCAGAAGCAGAGCGTGGCGCGGGGCAAGGTCAAGCACGAAGAGGTGAAGGAGCTCTACCAGAAGTTGCCGGCCAAAGCTGGTCTGTAAGACCTCCCAATTACGTTGTCTCTTTTCTCTAGGGCAGCTCTGGGCAGAGGCTGAAGGGGAGGAGAGGGATTGGGGGGGGCAGCTCGGGCCTCTCCCCCCCGCCCCCCTCCGTGGCGGAGATGGGTTTGGAAGCGTCCTCGCGGTACGACCCTCCAGCCTTCCTCTCCCCAAGAGAGCCCCCACCCCAGCACGGGCTGCTCCCCGGGAGAATGGGCGCCCGTATTCCCCCTCTTTCTAACGGGCCCCTCGCTTTGGCGGGCGTCGTCTCGGCCCCGCCAGCAGGGCAGGGGGAATTGGCATAGCGGGGAGGGGGGACCGCTGGGGCAGAGGCTCCCCTGTTGCCCGTGGGCTTCACCTGGTAGGGAAGGTGCGGCCGGAGCCCTTGGTCTGAGTTGCTCACACACACAGGGCAGGAGGGCAGGCCCTGGACAGAAGCTGACCAGCGGCTGCATAGCAGGGAAGAGGGGTTGATTTTTATTTTTATTTTTATTTTATTTTATTTTTTAAACATTTAAAACCGGTCCTTCGCAGGGGGAGAGGGAGGGGAAGACGCCCAACTTGCACCAACCAGCTGTGGTTGGTCTTGGAGGAGGAGAGGCGAAGGAAGCTGAGGGGGGGGGGGTGCTGACGCTCCGGCCCCCTGCCGCCCCCCCCCCCCCCCCCCCCCCCCCCCCACCCCCCCTCCCTCCCTCTCCCCCTCCCCCTCCCTCAGGCTGCCCCTACGACTTTGTCTCCCTGGAATGGCTGCAGCAGTGGCTGGATGAATCGACGTCCCCCAAGGCCATTGACAACACGGCCTGCCTGTGCCCCCACGGCAGGCTGCACCCGGATAAGATCTCCACCGTCAAGCGGGTCTCGGAGGACGTGGCCGACTACTTCTACCAGAGATACGGGGGAGGACCCAGGCTGACAGGTGAGGTGTGGTGGTGGTGGGGGAACCTTCCCGGATGAAGCCACATCCTGGGGGAAGCCCTGGCCTCTTCCTCCTCCTCTTCCTCTTCCTCCTCTGCTTTGGAAGGAATACTGGGGCAGATGGAACCGCTTGGAAGGGAAGGAGGGAGGAAGCCCTCCGCGCTGCAGGAGGTGTGATCTCTCACGCCTCTGTTGCAAAGTTGGCATTGCACCTCGCTGGTGTGTCGCCACATTAGTCGGTTTCCCCACCCACCACCCTTCGCACCTTCCCTAGCACGTTTTTGCGGGGGCCTGCCTCTGGAGAGGCGAGGGCGACCCGGGGAATCCCCTTCGGTGGAAGCCGTGGCGCCCGCCCACGAAAGCGCGGGGCTCAGGGAGGCCGCCTTAGCTCTGCTCCCCAGGGATGCAGGGGTCCCCTCCCCAGGGTGGCCCGCGGGAAGGCAGTGGCCTCCCCCCCCCCCCTTGCCGAACGGCCTCCTTTCCCCTCCTTCCTCAGTGAAGGCCCTGTGCAAGGACTGCGTGGTGGAGAGGTGCCGGGTGCTGCGCCTGAAGAGCCGGCTGAGCGAGGACTACAAGGCCGTCTGCAACCTCCTCAAAGCAGCGGTCAAGGGGTGAGTGGCTCCCGCCAGGTGGAGGGAGAGGCGGGCGGGGCGAGAGGTGGGATCCCTCCAACGCTGCTCCCTTCCCGCCTGTCTCCTGGGCTGTGAGCCACCCCTCTCGCCCCACAGGACTGACGGGTTTTGGGTGGGGAAGTCCTCCCTGCGGAGCTGGCGCCAGCTGGCCCTGGATCAGCTGGACGACTCGGATGAGGACGCCGAGCACAGCAACGGCAAGATGAATGGCGACGCCAAGGAGAGAGGTAGCGCTCTCTCTCTCTCTCTTTCTCTCTCTCCTTCCTTCCCTCCATCTCTTCTCTCTCTCTCTGTCT